CATATAGTATTTCTAGATTATGTACTGAGGACCCTGTTTCAGTATCGCGACAATTTTCATACAAATTTAAGGATTTCTTTAACATAGTCATTCTCCAGAGAGGTGTTCTAGGCAAAGTAGAGCAATATTATGTTAAAAAAGAATATCAAATGCATGGAGCGCCTCATTATCACATCCTCCTATGGATTGAAAATGCTCCTGTTGTCGGTATCGATCATCCAGAAGAAGTCTGTTCTTTCATACAAGATAGGATTACCTGTCATATACCAGATAGTAATATGTCGCCTGATTTAAATTTTTTGGTAACAAAATACCAAATGCACAAGTGCAGCAAATACTGCAAGCGAAATATTAAAGTTGGCAAGACCTATGTATCTAGATGCCGATTTGATTTTCCTAGACCAGTACGAGATAGTATTTGCATCAATGATGTAGAAAACAGCTTGAAATCATGCAATAAAATATATTACCTCAAACGAATTGAAAAAGAAGTTCGAGTCAACGACTATAATCCTTTACAGCTGAAATTGTGGCGTGCAAATATGGACTTGCAATACATAGCAGAGAGGAGTCTTTCCTTAACAGAGTATGTAACTGGATATGTCACTAAAGCAGAAACGAGTCATGCACAGGACTTATGGGATGAAGTCAGCAGCTGTGACAACATATACAGCAGGCTTTGGAAAATCGGCCAAAAATTACTTTGAGCTAAAGAAGTAGGACTATATGAAGCTAGTGATCTTCTTCTCGGTGAAAGTTTATACATGAAATCAGTAACCGTACAGTACGTTAATGTGTACTTGCCTCATAAGAGGAGCAGAAAAATCAAAAACTATTCATATTTAACTAAAATGGATCGATCTTCGAAAGACATTTTTAATCCTAGCATAATTGAAGACTTTTATCCAACAAGACCGAATAACATGGAAGATGTATCTCTTTATGAATTTGTTGCCAATTACAAATTTGATAAAATAGGAGAAAATGGAGAAAGAGAATACAAACTTCGATCAAAGCCAGTCCTTCCAAACCATAGGAAATTTAATCCTATGCAAGAAGCGGAAAGAGACGATTTTTATTACTCGCTAATATTTTTATTTGTGCCTTTTAGAGACGAGAGCACACTTGTAATGGAAGGAGAAACAATGGAAGAAGCTTTTAGGCGTCACAGAGAAGCATCTATACGTGGCATTGAAAATCA